AAAAAAGGGAATGAAAAGAAAATAAGAAAGTAAAATGGTTGGGAATGCAAACGCATTCCAAAATAGAAGGAAAATGGGACAAAAGGTACGAATGTGGAATTAGGTTTTTAAGAGTGTAAAAAAAAGAGAAGGATGAAAATGTAGAAAAGCAGTAAACACGAAAGAATGCAAATTGAATTGTGATTCATAGGATAAAAGGGGGGAAAGAAAAAAAGAAAATATTATATAATTTTATAATATTCGCAGCATATTTTACACTTGGAAATCTTTCTGCTACTACTCATGGTAGTCGTTTCGTGTATCGGAACATCCGTTGGTGTTTCTGTGGCTAGTGACAAGACAGAGCCGATTTGTTTCAGGTGGAGTCGACGTTCGCTTGCCAACTGGGACAGCTTTTATCCGGACAAAGAATCATCGAGGAGGAACGTGCCTCACTGATCGCCCGTTTACGCCTTGTGCGATCGTTCAGTACCGTACGCGGCCGACAACTCATCATTATCGCGCGCCTCCTGGCTTCGTCGATATTGAGTATTATTTTTTCCCGTAACACACTTCGAAAAAAATCACATTTTAATAAAACTGTCCCTTTTTAAGGTTTTTTTTTTTTTGTGTCATTGCTGGAATGCAAAAATGCATATTTCTAGTGAGGTTGTGTATGTGTATGTAAAGTCGGCAAAGCTGTGAAGCCGAGATTTTGTCCATCGCTCTGAGTAGGTCTTCAGCGCCATATATACGTCTTATTTGCGGTCAGAAATGTTTTTGACAAGAGGCGATTTCGAAAATAGTTCAGGCTAGGATGCTGTAACTGTATGCGGATGTTTGCACGGGTTCCTGCACTGAAAATTTGTGCCTTTATTCCATGGACACGTCACAATTGCATTTGCGGACTCGTAGATGCCCTTCTCTTTCAGTAATCAGAGATGCTGGAATGCAGTTCACAAGCTCAGTCGATGGCTTTCCTCCCCATACGTGAGAAAAAGGCCAACAAAGCTCAATCTGAGTGCACATATCAAACTAGGAAGCAGTGTTTATACTGTCAACGATCTTACTGCTTCATGAAATTACACAGAAACGCAGGACCACACCGGCAACCTCGGTGAAGGGGCTATTTATTTATTGTGGGTAATGTCTTGTTTTTCTCCTAAAATCAATAGAGCATCAGAGGGAAATTGTTGCTTTTTGCTTTTTTTTTTTTGCCAAAAGTATATTACAAAAAAAAGTGCGTGAGTCCATGAAATAGCATTGATTGTTAGATGAAAGAATTTAGTTAATATTGCAGTGTACTCGCGTAATCTGGCCGAGGATTGGACCATAACAGCAATGCTATATGACGGATTCATCGGAGAACTTACCACCCTCCTGATGATTGAAGACGTCTTCGATCCTCTCATCGATACCATCAAAACAGAATCACTCCGTACGCTCGCCAGCATCGTTTCACTTGGAAAACCTACCAAGTAAATTTTTTTGGTCTACCTGAACTACGTTACATTGCCAGTTTTTCCCGTCGAGACGTAATACCGCTTTTGTTTTTGGGATGCTTGAGATTATGGAGTGATTTTTTTTTTCTTTTTTTTTTTGTAATTTGTAGTCAGTGGAAAACAATGGTAGTGTGTATTTTGTCCTGGATAAGTTTATTGCTGACGGATTCAATATAGCATGGAGCGACTGTTGCTGTTAAGGGCTGAGGCCATTCCTTTGTATAGTCAACTTGTTTGCGAGTCACCTCACTACGTTTTTGAAGCGTCTCGAGAAACCAGATCGGTGATAACCCTGCCAGGGCTGTTGAAGAAGCACTCTAAATCGGGCTACTACTAAGTATTTCCGTTAAATAACAAACGCGC